TGGACAGTGAAGGAATGTCAGGATTCTTGCTCAGAAAAAGGATCAACATGCTCTGAAGTCAGAGCACAAAAACCTTTTTGTAACAAAATATCGATTTCTGCTGTCCCTGTATCCATACATTATTAGCAAACAAAATATCACCATACTACACAGTATCCATTTTTTCCCCCACCTCTAGATTCTAACCAGTAGACCAGTCTCAGCTGTGCTGTCTGAGTAATAAAGACACGAGTGCAGGGCAGAGCTCGACAACGCTGTCAAAATGCCATCTGTATGTGACGTATTTTTTCTAGTTTAGTTTGTTATGTGTAGGTGTATCATTTAAAAGCCTGTGCTGAAGATGATGGCAGCAGCTACATCTCTGTTGGTTTGGCCTCTCGTTGACCTAATGTGAAAACTCTGAATGGTTTCGACCTGTGTGCCTGATTATCTACGAGTACCGTGTGGAGCTGCGTGCCACCTGAAGGAGGCAAAGAGAATTCCTAATGTGATCCCATTTTTAGTGACTCTGCGTAGTGAGCGGCCTTATTTTTAACCACATATCTAAATAACACTTTTCTATTTTGGTTTTGGTATTTGCCAGCTGGCAGTAGGGAGACATGTCGGAGCGCTTCTTATTGCGTCTCTCGTCCTGAGAATAGTAAGAAGAGCAACCTTTATCACTCCTCATTCTTGTAACTTAACTGGAGGAAGAAACATGGTCAGCAGCCGGGCCGCTCCCTGTTTATTCTAAAACCGTCATTAATTATGTAAAAGGCCCGAGAGTATTATAAGTCACACGTCCTGTTTTGGTAGCTAGTTGACTTACTGTGCTATGTTGAGTAGGTTCATGCCGAGCTGAAGAAACTGTGATATTTAAATAAAAGGGTCGCTCAGCAAATGTATTTTTACCGGACCTTTCTATGAGGCTCATGGGCTCAGACACGAGACACAACATCCTGATCGATCTATTGTTCTGATCGTTTGTATGAATTGAATTGTTGTTCTGGGTCTGAGCCTTAAATGCAAAACTAGAAGGATGAACAGAAGTTAAATGAATATGAAACCAGTGCACTTGGTTTGCAAACACCTGTTTGTTGCTTGGCCAGAGAAGCAGACGTACTTTGCATACTGTTGGCAACACCTACAATAACTGTTCAAAAGGACTGATGCAACATGCAAAAGGGGTGCAGAAATTATGTATTATTATTAGGGAGAGAGATTGATTAAGGTGACCAAGGACAGAAATGGAAAAGTCCAAAAATGTTCAGAAGTGTGCAGAGAAGATGGACGGAGGAGCTGATGAATGTAGAAAAAGGGGAAGCCAGGGCAGCTATGAAATGTGGAAAGGTGATTGGTCCAAACATACCTGTGGAGGTGTTTGGGATAAATGTTGCTTAACACAATCCTGGAGAGCGAGACGTTTAAACAAAAGGTGGCAGTCTTCATGAACAACCATGATGTCCGGAGCTTTTAAGAAAAGAGGAGATGATCAGTGAGCAGCGTGGCTTGATGCTGAGAGCTACAGATGTGATGTTTGCATGGAGAATATTAATGGAGAGCTGTAGGAGAGGTCAGGAGGAGCTTCACTGTGTCTTTGTGGATGTAGAGAAACAGAAGTGAGGAACTGTTGTACTGCGTGAGGAGTGGTGGAGAAGATTGTGAGGGTGGTGCAGGACATGTATGAGGACAGTGGTGAGGTGTGCAAAACGAGCGACATATGGGTTCGAGGTGGAATTACATCAGAGATCTCCTCTAAGCCTCTTCTAGTCTGCAGTGGACTGGACTGGATGGACTGATGGTTTGTGCAGTGGGTATACTGGACAAAGGATGTTGAAGATGATGTTCGTTTGTGCTCCATTTCAAGAGCTCATCAGAACGTGTGCAGCATTTGTGCATTTTTCAAGTTTCATGATGTGCACGCAAGAACATGGATGAAGTGACAACATTGGGCTTGTAGCTGTTGACTGATGTTTAACTGAGTAACTGGGTAAGAAATATTTTTGGTGCCAGAGAACAAACTAAGCCATGGAGTCCGAGGAATCGGACAGGATGGTGTGGAGGCAC